ATAGCTTGTGTACTGATTCCCTACCCTCCAGGCGCTCTCAGTCACAACTTGCCCCGGCGCTCCCCACGCAGCACGCACGGGTCTGGGTGCCATGTCCCTGTTTGTAGCGACACAGTTGTAGCTACGACCGAGCGCACTTATTTCTACAGCCGGTTCTGATAAAGCTGCTTGTGGCCGTGTCGGTGGTAGCTATAAGTGTGTAGCTACAAACAGGTACGTGGTCCCGCCGGCACTACTCCGCGCGCGCAGAGATCTTAGCGAGTTTAAACAGTTGCGCAACACAGGCGGGGTAGTGTTGTTGGTGCGTCCAAGATGAGTGAAGTGCTTCAACAAAAATGTGAGGAGAAGGTGGCTTCTCCCTTTGGTTTCCTAAAATTTCGTCAGTTCTTTTCAACTGACAAATTTTAGCAGTCATTCAAGAGACTGCAAACTTTTTGGATCTTTTTGGCTACGTAGTGCAAAAAAATCTAGCCCGAAACAAAACGTGGACGTGGAAAGCAGAATGTATGCACCCTTTTCGGCCGACCTTGTATGCCAATAGTTCCAGAAAGGTTCAATCAGTAACAATTTGTTTTACTGAAGTACGTAGTACACGACTTCACCCTCGCTACCATGTTGTTGATGGCGCTAGGGAACCTCCAGAAGCACGCCAGGGTGGTACGCTTCGCCTCGTTTCCACCCTTTCCACCTCCTGACTTGTCGGCCACCCATTTTCCTCTATCCCCCCCCCTTTCCCCGCTCGTTCGTAGAGGCCGAAGAGGCCTCTCTCTCTCTCTTTCGCCCTCTCTCTGCCTATGCCAGGCGGCCGCCGGCAGCTACCCCCGACCCCCCTCCCGCACGCGGGGCCCGCGCTCGACGGTCTTTCCACCCCGTTCTCGACGCACAGCCCATGGCACCCCATGGCAGAAAGCAACCACCTACCCGCCCGCGCCAACTCCTCCCCCACCCTACCCCATCTCGACAAACAGTGCTTCATTATAGCTCGGCCCGGCCCTCCCCTGCCCCACCCCTCTTCTCTATTTACCATCATGCCGCCATACAGCATGGGCGTAGCAACGCGTAATTAAAATTAGAACATCAAAGCGGCACCGCGTCGCCGCGTCGCACCGCGTCAAACTGCAAGTCGTCGAAAAAGCGCGATGCAGTTAGAAAGAGAGACGGGGTAGGGGTGGATGCGGGATTTCGGGGGAGAGGGGGGG